ATAGCATGAGGGGCGTCTCGTACTTGTCAACCTCGACGACTTTTCCGTGGGACATGGTGGCAGCGGGGTCAGAGGCACGACTCTTGAGGATGCGGAAAACTAAACTGGTCAGCCAAATCTAAGTCAAAATAGCATATCAAAGTGTGGTCATACAGATATAGATGGCTGCGAGGATAAGAATGTGTTTCAGCTCCATTTTTGTGAAAGTTCACACAACTGTATTGGTGGAGGACGAAGTGAGGTTCCCGTCAATCACTTCCGATTGGCGTTTTCGCCCGTAGGGATCCACGTGTCACGCTAGATCCAATACGGAAATTGACACACCGGTCACCGGTCATTCCATGTCTTCACAGTCAGTCCCTTGAACCTGACTGAATTAGGGTAAACCTCCGCAGGGAAGCTAACAGTACTATTGAATGCTAAAGCTCAAAAAATAGAATATATCTCTCAGCTCTTCAAATGTATGCAGTCTACCTACCACAGTATCTCCAGGCATAGCACTGATAATAGGTTTTCTCCCCTCAGAATATAAAGGTCCTCTAGGATTGAGATATGATCCGGTGTATGGTAAAGATTCCCTGAGTCTACTAGCAGTAATATCTGCTTGTAACTTAGTAAAGATCAATTGCAACAGAAAATGTCCCGTGTGACACAGCAAGAATAGAGACTTGTTGGGAGAAATCTTCTCAAATACCAACGTCTTTCTGTACATCTTCTTGGCGGTTGAGTCGACGGCATGACTTTATTGAAGAAGGGTTACATCCAAAAAAGCTGCTCCAGAAACCTTTCAATGTGGAGCAACTACAACTGCAACTCAAACTGTCAGTAAATGTTTTCTCCATTCAGTGGTGACATATGTCTGTGGTGTGGACCCATTCGTACCGCTCAGATGTATTTCTATATATGATTTAATGATATCTATCCAAAACGGTAAAAGCCAAGGTCTAAGATAACTAGTAGAGTTCAATATATTAGATATATTTTCAATAGTTTATACGTAGATTTCAATATCCTGAAACTCGCTTTTGCTGTGCAGGGTTGATTAAAGATATATAATCCACTGAACAGAACGTTTCTTTGATGTATGGAATCCTGGGGTTTGAACAAGAACGCTGCCAGCTGTGTTATATTTTCTTCCACAATTTAATTGAAATCACTCACCAATATGAAAGTCCTTCCTCTCCTTTTCATGATGGCTGTAGCATCATTAGCCGTCCCACTTTCACAACACGAGACAGAGGTTGGTGAAGTAGGGAATGATCTCTCAGAGATCTATGGGACAGAGATCGATAAGAGACAGAACGTGGGAGACAACAAAGGCGAGGACAGCGACGAATATGGTTTTGTTGACAGGTGCCCAGACGGGATGGTTGAAGTTGGCTTGCCGTCGGAAAACAGCTGCATTATAGTATGCAAAAGGGAAACAACCGACCTTGTTGTCCCCGTTCCTCTGAATAGAACTACCTGTCGAATTAACGTAAGTTTCTAAATCGATAATGCGTTGGAATGTGAAACAGATATATTTGCATAGCTTTCCTGGTTTTCGCTTAGAGGTATATGCCGAATAGGTATTTGCTCCTTACTGCAATGGCCCTTGTGTTGTCACGCATGTCCAGGACACAATGGGTGGAAACGAGGAGAGAAGACACTAGGAGTCCGGAAACCTCTACCCACAATCGACTATTATGCAGGGACTTGAAAGTTGTATCACCTTCCCTGTTGAGCTTTGACACATCATATCAGGTTTTGATCTAGAAGTAAATTAGATAGTTTCTCATGTGAGCTCGAAAGATATGCATTATCCCCCCTTGCGGAATTGCAACGTAATTGCAGCTGACTCGTCACATCAACACAGTATGGGCTATGACAATGTAACAATTTTCCATTTCCATTAGATATTTACTTTTGTACTATGCATAGAGCGAATTATCGCCCAGCCCAGTGGCTCATAAAGCCAATCTTTATCTAGAAAAGGAAATTCCGGGCATATATATCAGAGTACTTATTGTTTGCTTACACGAAAGTAGGTTCGGCCCGAGGTAAGGGGGTGTCATTTTATCCACAGGTTTAAGTTATTTGAAAGTGGATAATACACATGAAACAGAAAAAGCAATGCGAATGTCACCTGAATGGCTATATTCCCCCTATATTATTCCCGAATAAATTCATCCCAGCAGGCAGTCCAGTTGCCCAAGAGTCAAAGATCGCACCCATATCGTGATCCGCTAAGTAAGGGACATGTTCTGACGTATCCGCTCCGAAAAGACCCTGCAGGCAATCAGGTTCAAAGATCGATATCGGACCTGCATCGGTCGCGAAGTGTAGACTGTCCTCTAGCTGGTTGTAGGCCCCCACGCATGATTGCCTTGTTTCAACCAGGCCCTTGGCAATCTGCAAGAAGGTGGAACAGATTTGATACAGACGCTCTGAGCTAGGTGATACATATCGGATGTGCTGCAGACTGTCAACTACCTCGTAAAGAAGTTGGATGTCGTCCGAGCTGGTCGCTGCGATGGCGTGCAGAAATATGACGATGAAAGGCGTGAAAGAAGAAAATAGCAGAACCCTGTGGATGTTAGCTATACTCCTCACGATAATGGATCTTGCGGGGAGCAGACCAATTGGCATAATCGGCCTTGGAGTGGAAGCCAGAGGTCTGGAAGTTTCCGAAACAGCGTAGGTGGCTCTGTAGGCTAAGGCGCGCAACCCGAAAGCACTGTGAGCTGAGCTCGGCGCATGCAGCACCTGATGTAATCGGTGAGCGCAATAGCGATGTGAATGTCGAATAGTATAGTATATCCCAGCTATCTCTGCTTATTTTGAATATGTGATGGTTGTTTACTTTACTTGCATCGATCTAGAAGACGGAAAGGTTACTATCAGACAAGACCAATTCGTGGTCGGATATGATGTGCTTGCTCACCTCCTTGAACTCAGTGTACCATTGTTGAATGTCAGCTGCTAGTCCGTGTACTCGTTGCATTCGTTCCGGATGAGGATTCTTGGAGGCCTCTGCGGAATAGAGTTTGTCATATATTTCTCCTTGGATCTTGGCTAGTCGAATCCCCATGACAAAGGACTCATCCCACGGCCTGACCGCAGGATCTGTGGTGATGGCCGGGTACTGTGCATCAATATCGAAATCCTGCATGTTCGAAGCTCGCCCAAAGTACAACGACATATGCTTCTCAAAGACGTATGTAGTCCAAAATATTCGCCGCATATTCTCCGAATTTCCCATGTTATCACCGCGATACATTATTTCGCGATGGTACCCGAGCATCTGGCAGTGGCTAGCAGCTGCAGAGATGAAAGTAGAACATAGTAACGGCTTGGCTTCGTCCTGTGCCTTTATGAACTAGTCACAGTGGCATACGAGGCCAAGACGTCAGTCAGTGTTCAATGATGCTCATCAGTCGCAACTTACCCCCATAATCAGTGCGAATATACTTTCAAAACTAGGAATCGCCAAAACATCGTACGACTCGACCAAGGTATTGAAGTTTTGCTCACACATGGAAATATGCGCCTTGAGATCAAACTTTTGACACAAGGGGTTTCCCAAAATCGTAAATTCTTTCAAGAGGGTAAGAACGATTCCGTGCATGCCAGCTAGATGGCCCGTTGAAATTGGCTCTGTCGGGAAATAGACCCTCTGGCAAAGGCGCTCGACCAAGGTTCGATCATTTATCGCGTATGAACAAAGGAATATCGGACGATTAACTACAAATGTCAATCTGAGTAACTATATCCAATGAAGAACGATCCTATCATCTATCATCTAAGATACTTACCCTTTATCTCTTGTAGAATGGCAATGATAAGGTCGAGGGGTAATAAACGGTCCATCGTGGGCAAGGACCCTGCTGCAGGAGCTCGAGACATTCGATATTCTCTTGCAAAAGAGGATCTTGTTGGTGTCTGAAGTAATGTCTTCAGGTAGTCCAACGAGGACTTAAGATCTGAATATTCTCCGGCACCTTCCGAATTAGCTGTCTTCTGAGCGACATCGCTTGCTAGGAGAGACTGGCCGGTAAACGAAGAGATTCCCTCATACACACAAGTAGTGCCGGTCGGCTGCGGTACAGCTTCCTCACTAGCGGCCGGGACTTCATCGGGCACAGTATTTCTGCGATGCTCCGATATACTACGCTGAGTTTTCAACTGCTGTTCCAGCGAGCCAAGTCGCTCTTCTAGACATCTAATCTGTTCCTGCCTGACACACAATTAGTATCTAGTTCCCAACTGTCTATCAACTCAACCCTACAGATCTCGCTCCGGTCTAGGACGAGTTTCCGACCTAGGTCTAGGAGTGGTCTGTTCGCAGGTGATGCCGGACAAACGGCAATTCGAACAAGGGACGGAGCGATCACAGCGAACCTCAATTCCTTCTCGTTAGCTTCGGGGTTTTGGGACGGGTTCGGACGTCAATACCTTGCGTATCTTACACCCTTCACACTGCAAATCCGTTAGCTACGTTGCGTTACTCGGTACTATTTTCCGGGTTCATAGATCATACTGCACGAGGGATCACGGAAAGTCGGTGCCGTCTGGCTCGGATCGTCTCTTTCCTCTCTGGCCCAGCCATTGGTACGCTGGTGAAAAGTTCTTTACCGAACGATGGAGACGGAAGAGGGAGAATGGAGGACGAGGAGAAAGAAGTCGATACATCCGGTCCTCCTCGGATGCCCGGGCCCGCGGCTTCCGGCTTTCCACTAGTATCCGCGTTGTCGATTGGTTGGAGATCCAGGGCATCCGCAATTCAACATAGTATGACTACTTACTAGTATGGAGGCCAGTTCCCAAGGCCAATGTAGTGCAGATAATTCATTTATTTGATTCTTTTCTAGTTTTGGGCTGTATCTGTAACGGACCTAGTGTTTGGGAACGAATATCTCGTTGCCAAGACTGCGACCGCTTCCCTGTCTACGCCAGGCAACTGCAATAGTTTGTATAGAATGTCGTACGTACTCTTCTTTTTTATTGTTCTTGTACATCATTAAATTTCCATATCTACTTGATATGAATGAACGCATTACATTGACCTATTGTTGACGCAACTATCGTTGATATGGACTCGATTCCCCCTAGCCTCCCATGCCACAATAACCATCGTATAGCTACCTAGAAACATTTACGATGCACAATAGAAGGACCGCTCTCGTCATACTCCTGTTTCGTAATCCACATTTGCTGGAAAGTCGAGAGCGAAGTAAGAATCGAGCCACCGATCCAAACCGAGTACTTCCTTTCCGGCGAAGCAATGGTCTTGATTTTCATCGACGAAGGAGACAGGTTCACAAGCTCTTTATGCAAACGGTCTGCAATTCCCGGATAAAGAGTAGTACCGCCAGACTAGATAATAAGGAATGTTTAGTTGCAAGTATTATTTTACTTCACTTTAAGGAAGCAGAAGGAGAAGAACAGGGAGGGGTAAAAGGTAGGAGACACATACCATGACGATATTACCATACAACTCCTTGCGCACATCGACATCGCATTTCTGAATCGAGTTAAATATAGTCTCATGAATACCGCCTTGCTCAATACCAAGCAAGCTTGGCTGAAACAAAGCTTCGGGTGCCCGGAAGCGCTCATTGCCGATCGTGATCACTTGTCCATCCGGCAGCTCGTAGGATTTCTCGATACTGGAACTCTGAGCGGCGGTTTGGAGCTCCTGTTCAAAGTCAAGCGCTACATAACAGAGTTTCTCTTTGATATCGCGCACTATCTCGTGCTCGGCAGATGTGGTGAAGCTATGGCCGCGCTCTGCTAAGATCCTCGCCAAGTAGTCTGTCAAGTCACGGCCAGCCAAGTCCATGCGAGCGATGGCGTGTGGCATAGAGAAACCTTCGTAGATCGGAACCACATGCGTGACACCATCTCCGGAATCGAGGACAATACCAGTAGTGCGGCCAGAGGCATACAGAGACAACACAGCCTGGATAGAGACATAGAAGGCTGGCACATTGAAGGTTTCAAACATGATCTGAGTCATCTTTTCCCGGTTAGATTTAGGATTGATGGGAGCCTCTGTCAGCAGAACGGGGTGTTCTTCGGGTGCCACACGGAGCTCGTTAAAATAGGTGTGATGCCATATTTTTTCCATGTCATCCCAGTTGTTAACGATGCCGTGCTCAATCGGGTAATGGAGCGAAAGGACACCCCGTTTAGACTGTGCTTCATCTCCGACGTAAGAGTCTTTTTGGCCCATGCCAAGCATAATTCTACGAAATGTTTTAGCAGCTTGACTAGACCTGAAGTGGTAGACGACCGGGGATAAGGTAATGTCAGGGTAGTTATGTTTGTTTGACAAAGAAAAAGGGGTGGATTACCCATGGTGACGGGGACGACCAGTAAGGGAAGCTACGGAACATCGTCAGTTCTTATACATGCAATGAGCTCCTTCAGAGAAGAAAGAATTGACTCACGAAAAACGGCCCGGGGAGCATCATCGCCAGCAAAGCCAGCTTTGCACATTCCGGAACTGAATGATTGTTTTAGCATTTATAATCAACTGCCAGGAATGATCGTCATACCCATTATCAATAACAACGGCAGCAACTTCGTCTGTAAACTCATAAACTATATTAGCAATCTGTGACTTGTATGGAAGTTCAAAAGGTATGTATGCCCAAGGCTACGAGAAGGAAGCTAGTAGGGAATATTACCATCCATAATGATAGTCAAAGCAGATTAGCGAGCTTCGAATACAGAGAGAGTGGAGTATACCAGCGATAGTTAAATTGTGAGATCGCGTAGCAGTACTATAAGAACTTGATCGCAAACGAGTGCGATAACATACGATGTACTTATAGATAAAATAACATACTTGCCTAAACGGTTTACTTTAGGCAGCTCAAATATTGTTCATTACCCCATGAACTCGAAAGCTAGGTGAATTTGAAAACATAACAACATTTTCAGGCAGCAGAACCTCGGTGAAGTTGATTGCGCGTCGCAATCAGGGGGAGTTAGAGCTCATGATTCAATCATTATACCTCTCGGCATCCCGGATTGCGCGGCCCCGGGAATCCGCCAAGCAAATCAACGCAATCTTTCCTTAGGCATTCATTTTTCTATAGAATACAGCAGCCTAGCTAGAACAAATATAAAGTGAAAAATCAATGTCGGCTTGACTGAATTAAATTCAGGCTCTTTAGCAGATTCTAGTCCATCTCAGTTTCTAGCGATCAACATGTCGGTGTGTATTCTCGTCCTACTCTTTGAAGACTTTCGCTTACCCAAGTCCGTCTTATAGATGCCATCAGGGTATGCTGCTATAATCAACAACCCCTATTAGGGTATTGCACATTCCTAGCATCTTTACTAACTATGTTACCAATAGTGTTTCCATAGCGGATGAATGCATCATCGCCTACAAGCAACTCCGTTCCGGAAGAGGGGCAAAAAAGCCATCATTTGTGATTTACCGGATCTCAGACGACCAAACCGCTGTTGTAGTTGAAGAATCATCTACAGAACAGGATTTTGAGACCTTCCATCAGAAGCTCTGCTCCACTGTGGATAGCCGCGGCAACTCAGCCCCACGTTATGCCGTTTATGATGTTGAGTATGACCTTGGAGAAGATGGCAAGCGGTGCAAGACAGTGTTTATAAGTTGGGTGCCTGCTAGCACACCGCTGAAAGTGAGTGCACCTCCCCTTCATTGAGTTGCATATTCGGGCCAAGTCTGAGTAGAATATCTAGCTGTGTATGCTTTACGCGAGCACTAAAGAGCAGCTGCGGAGCGCTCTTGATGTCAAGTTATCCATCCACGCTGATACACCTGATGAGATTGAATGGAAGACCGTGCTAAGCGTGGCCAGTGGGGGTAAGGCTTGAGACATGAACTAAGGATTGTTGGTGCTATATCAGAATGTAATTTAATTGGGTCGTCATCTAAATAAACTGAACTCTGCGTTAATGTGGAAGCTTTCCCTATGAACAACGCTTTTGAATGCATAGTTCTTGATAGGCTGAAGCTGATTGAGAGCCGATGGACCGATACCGTTATGTTTAGTGCGTACAATGTGTGGGTCTGGTAGATGCCGTAGAAACTTTTGTTTAACACCGAAAATTGCCTTTCCTTTTCCTTTTCTTCATTCCGTCACCTCTTATCGGTGAGCGCGAATGTCGATTATGACTTCTGGGCGTTATGCGATCGTAAGCATATGATTCGTACCTCACCTAATGAAGTAAATATAAGTATATGAAACGAACGGGGACAGATCAGGGTATTCCTGGACACCACATGAAGCCCCAGGTGCCGGACTTGCCATTCCTGAGCTTAGATCAGTTTGAAGGGTCTTCCGATTATGCTTAATCCGCCAAACAGCGCAGTTATTCCCGTAAAGATAATGAGGGTGCCATAAGAGGTGCCATAGGCAAAGGCTGAAGGGTCATAACTCCATGAGCCCTTGATCAGGGCGTCACTCAACGGTCCGCTGACAACATTTCCGATTCCTCTGCCGGTTGCCAAGAAACTGAAGACAATCGAGGGATCCGCCAGCTGGCTCTTCTTCACCACCTCCTTCATGATGGCGGGCCACGTTGAGGTGAACGATCCAGCAAAAAGGCCATAGACAACACTGAACACGTATAGGGGCGCCAATGACATGGAAAATCCCCACAGAAAAAATACAGCTATGGTGCTACCTATAGTAGACACTAGGATACAGGTAGTCGCATGGTACCGATCAACCAGATGACCCATGGCGATACATCCAAAGACCGATGCAAGGTTGCATAAGATGACGGTCAAAGACGCCAGGATCGTACTGGCGCCCAGAGTGCGTGCGAAGGTAGGTAAGTAAATTGTTGGCAAGAAATACCCTAGGGCTTCGACGATATTGCCCATTTGGAAAATGAGGAACGTGTGCGACCAAAGGAAACTGAAGTCAAAAGTTCGGACGCTCGACGCACGCGAAATGGGCAAGCGAGGCTTCACATAATAGAGCAGTGGAGCAGCTAGCAAAAACAGAGCCACGGCCCAAATGCGCAGCGTGGTTTTGTGACCGTAAGTATTCAGGAGCCATTGAAGCACCAGGGGAAGTACCACACCAGAGACACCAGTTCCGGCCTATATGCAGGATAGTTAGCGTCACAAAGATGACAGGCAGGTTGAGAGTAGTGAAGAAGCGCTTACCCACATGATCCCAAAGGCAAGGCCTCTTTTGTGCACAAACCATTCATTCATGAAGATAATCATGGGTGAATAAGCAAGGTTGCCTCCGATCCCGCAGGCGATGCCCTGGGTTACAATAAGGTGAGTGGTGTTAGATGCGAAAGAACTCAGAACGAGAGCCAGACACATTATGAGAAGCCCGACAGGGGCGCACCACCGCTTAAGAACGGGGAATCCCTGTAGCAGGCCAAATGTCAAAGGAGAGATCATGTAGTTTACGCCCTAGAACATAGTTAGGGTATGCAACCACAACAGTCTTTCAACGAAGAAAACATTAGCGCACCATCATACATGTTCCAATCACGGCAGGGTTCCCTGAGCTTTTGAAAGGCTCGTGCGTGCTGTAAAAGTCCTGGAAGATACCGTAGGCGAAAGAGAAACCTGAGAGAGCCGTAAGAAAGGTGATCATGAGTGGAAACGGTTGAGGAACTCACCCCAAACAAGAGCCTCCATCATGAAGCCAGCGGCTAAGAACAACCATGCATCTTTTCCACCATCTACGGGGGGGAGTTGAAGTTCATTGTGTGGTTCGTCAGTTAAGAGGCTGGACCTGGTGGGGTCTTCCTCTCTCGTAGAATGCCGTGTTTCTAATTCCATATTCAGTCAGTCGCTGAGTGGAATGATAATACTCACTGTGGAAAGAAAGTCCACGTGCGTACGGCGATAGGATCAACACTACTACTTGGAGTCTATCAGAAGCAGTCTCCAAAATGTTCAATGGGGATGTCCAAGACCCTTGGGTCATGTGCACAGACCAAGAGCAAACAACAACAAAAGTATTCGGGATGACAATCCGATGGTCATGTTAAGGGCGTGAAAAGCGGGGTTTGTTCCCGACGATTTCGGGCTGTTTGATTGGCGGAGTAGTCTCGGTGAAATGACGTTCCTTTCAATCTCCATCCTTGTTGAAACTATTTTAAGCATGTCACGTATTAACCAAACCACGTTATTTATCTTCAGTCACCATACTTAGTAGACACTGTGGATTACTCAACAAGGCAAATAGAATGGCATCTCCTTCATACGAACGAACTCCATTCGGAGCTCCCATGTTGACGCATTTCCTGTTCGATCCCAAATATAAGAATCTCAACCATGGTAAGTGCATCAACATCGTGCTGTAACCTTGCATTATATATATGTGAACGAGACCCGAGCACTTTATGGAAATACTTTTTGTCGTTTTGTTCCTTGTTTGCTTTTTCTTTGCAAATTAATATCCAAAGTGCTTACGCGGTACACCAGGATCCTTCGGAACATATCCAGCCCATGTAAAACATGCGCTCCGCAAGTACCAGGACGAAATCGAAGCGAGGCCAGATCCTTTCATCCGCTACACTCATGGCGAACTGCTTGATGAGTCGCGTCTGGCAACTGCCAAAATTCTCAATGTCCCTGTGCAAGAACTAGTGTTTGTTAAGAATGCCACAACCGGAGTGAACACTATCCTCCGGAATCTTAGCTATAAGGAGGGAGATGTGATTATATACTTCGCGACCATATACGGCGCAATTGAGAAGACGATCACCTCGTTAACCGAAACCACCCCGCTTCAGGCAAGAAAAGTTGATTATATTTGCCCTATTAGCCACGAGACTCTTGTGCAGAAGTTCAAAGATGTTGTGGAACAAGCTCGATCAGAAGGATTAAACGTGAAAGTGGCGGTGTTCGATACCGTGACTAGTCTTCCCGGGATGAGGTTTCCCTTTGAGGAGTTGACCAGAGTCTGCAAGGATGAAGGGATTCTCAGTGTTATTGATGGCGCCCATGGAATTGGACACATTCCGTTGGATCTAAAGGAGTTACAACCCGATTTCTTCACTAGTAATTTGCACAAGTACAGCTCAACGGGCCCTCGGGATAGTTCGCAAGGAAGCTAATGATATTGTATAGATGGCTCTATGTTCCCCGTGGTTGTGCAGCTCTATACGTTCCGGTGCGCCATCAACATCTGATCCGGACGACGCTTCCAACATCCTGGGGCTTTATAGCAGATCCCACGTCATCCACAGCGGACAAGCCGAATATTCTGACGCCGGTGGGGAGCCAACGGTCCGCCTTTGAAGAGCTCTTCCAATTTGTGGCCACGAGTGATGATGCAGCCTATCTGACGGTCCCTGATGCCGTCCGTTTCCGCACTGACGTGTGCGGTGGACATGACGCTATATTTAAATACCTTGAGGAGCTCGCGATCCAAGGCGGTGACATTGTTGCAGCTGCACTCGGCACGGATGTCCTGCAAGAGCCCGATCTCCGTCCCGGGGCTAAGAGTAAGATCCGTCGGTGCGGAATGTCCACAGTCCGACTACCGATCGCGGTTGGTGGACAGAAGGAGAATCGAATGTTGTCGTCACCATATCCTCCGGTGGCTGCTGGGGACGTCAGCAAGGTGGTGCATTTTCTGCAGGTGACTTTGAAAGACGAGTTTGAAACCTTCGTTCCGATTTTCCAACATGGTGATTGGTTGTGGACGCGTCTGAGTGCTCAAGTATATCTGGAGTCACGGGACTTTGAGTGGTTAGGAGGAGTATTGAGGGGTTTGGTGGAGAGAGTCAGTAAGGGTGAATACCTAGCATAATCAAACTATACTGGATCGGGTAATGCTTGAGAGATGTGGCGTTCGCCATGACGGCCAGACCGAGAGGCGGTGCATTTGCAACCTTTGGGCTCTTGAGACAAAGGCTTAAATCATCCCACTCTAACTCGAAACTGCTTAGATTATGATGATCGAGTCCTAGTCGGACTCACATGCAGAAATGATGATGATTACTATTCTTCAACCTTTTGCTCTTTCTAGATTATTTTCTATCATTATTTCTACAATTTTTTTCATTTTATTTTTTCATTTGGATAAAACTTGTACTATAGATAGCCGTGAGATAATCCTCGGCGTGACACTAGAGTGATACTATGATATTTATTCCTGAGACATTGAGGAATCATTTTCGGTTCGGTTCAATCTGGCGATTATTCACAAATCTCGGCATAACGTGAGACTATTCCTATTTGGTAAACCTTGCGAGAAGACATTCATCTGCTACATTATTGGCCTCGGCCTTGTCGTTTTTCCTCCTCATTGATTGTGGGTCCCCCCCAAAAATGCTGAACGCGTTCTATGGTTGAGATTCGGCAAATGCTCCTACGAAGGTTACATTTGCTGTCAGGTGCGGGACCTTGCCCCTGGAACTCTTTGTCTACATTGAGGGTATATATAAAAGCTTCCCCACCACCCTGGTCGACACCCGCCTTCTTGGTCTCGCAAGTGACTCAACCATCATGATCTTGAATTCTTCTCACTACCCAGTCGCCCTGCTTGCAGGCGCTGTGGTATTCCTTGTTTATACTGTGACCGCCCTCCAGCGGAAATATACTCAATACCGCATAGCCCGCGCGAACAACTGTCAACCGGTACGTTGCCAAGTCAACAAAGACCCATTCCTGGGACTCGACAACATTCGCGACAACCTCGATGCTGCCAAGAAGCACATCCTCCTCGAGCGCTCGCGGTCTCGCTTCCGTCAGTTTGGAAACACCTTTCGCGCCAGACGTCTGCGGACCCCCATCATCGTCACGTGCGAACCCCAGAACATCAAAACGATCTTGTCCCTCAAATTCAAAGACTTCGGACTCGGCAATCGGATCGACGCATTCGGCCCTTTGCTCGGTCATGGCATCTTCACGACCGACGGCGACCACTGGGCGCAGTCGCGCGCTATGATCCGTCCGAACTTCGTCAAGGATCAGGTCGCGCATTTGGATATCTTCGAGGAGCTCATGGCCGATTTGCTGGCCTTGATCCCGACCGACGGCACCACGGTCGATCTGCAGGAGTTGTTCTTCTGTTACACGATCGATTCGGCGACGGAATTCCTGTTCGGTCACAGCGTCCAGTCCCTCAAGAAACGGATTTCGGGTGTGAAATTGGACGACAACGATTTCGCCAGTTCATTCAATTATGCGCAGGACGCCATTGCGAAAAATACGCGTTTGGGCCCACTGAGGCACTTTTTCCGAGATGCTAAGGCGGACCACTGCAATCAGGTGTGCCACGAGTTGGTCGAACAGTTTGTGGAAAAGGCGTTGAAATATCGTGCCAATTACGACGAGGAGAAGGCTGCGGCAGACGACGACGACGACAAGAAGAAGCAGAGGTATCTGTTTTTGCAAGGGTTGGCGCACCAAACCGGTGATCGTAAGCGGATTCGGGATGAGTTGATGAATGTGCTTCTCGCTGGTCGGGATACTACGGCATCGCTGCTGAGCAACATGTTTTTCATGCTGGCGAAAAACCCCCGCATCTGGAACAAGCTGCGCGAGGAGGTCGCCTCGTTGGAAGGTCGCGCTCCGACTTATGAACAACTACGCAATCTCACCTATCTCAAGTACTGCATGAACGAATGTGAGT